TGGAAGAAGAGGCTGTGGAAAGAAATGCTTGAGCCTCCCTGTTAAAACTGCTGCTCACAAGACCTGACTCTGAAACAAGCAGAAGATGATGGATGGATGGATGGATGGATGGATGGATGGATGGATGGATGGATGGATGGATGGATGGATGGATGGATGGATGGATNCAGGTCACAAGTTTTCATTTTTCACTTCATGATCGGAGGGGTATTTCATTATTTCCTGATTTCATTTTGCAAGATCTTGCTGGATTATTTTGTGAAGGTTAGGCTGGTCCTAATTTCATAGAGCAGATTCTTACATAAATTAGGGCACCATAAAAAATGTTAACTCAATATTTAGTAGCTCCTCCTTTCACAGGAATAACAGCCTCTAAACACTTCCTACAGCTTCTAATGAGAGTCTGGATTGTGGCTGAAGTATTTTGGACCATTCTTCTTTACAAAACATCTCTAGTTCATTCGGGTTTCTTGTTCCAAGAGTTTTTGCCACATCTCCTGAAGAGTTTTTTCAGCTGCCTCGTCAGCATTTTGATTTGTTAATAAACCTTATTTTTGTCATACCAGAAACCTGCCTGTACCCTGGGTCATTCCTTGTCTAAACCTGACAGATATATTTAACAGATTTTTTTATCCAAACAATCAATGATTTATAAATTAACAAGGTTGCCCAAACATCTGCACCCCACTGTACTCTCTGGTAATTATTTGTTGATGAAACACTTTCTGACAAATAAGTTCCTTTTTATGAGAACTGTGTTGTCCTCGGCATAGTGTATGTGCTGAATATGACTTGACAGCCTGATAAATACCTTCCTAACATCAAGACTCTGAAGATAATGACTCAGTACCCACAGGTTTATTGATGTTTAAACCTAAAATGTTTCAAAGAAGAAAGAAGGGTAAAACTAAAACAAATGCTACTCACAAAAAGTGAATAATTTCTGGCTTTCAGGTAAAATTTATGGAAAATGTAAAAAGTTCATATTAAAGTTCACCTTAAAGTAGGTCATTTAAGCAGAAGCATTTAATAGTAATTTCCTCATCTTAAGAATTTTATTGAAATATAATCCAACAACAGTGGTGGGTATACCGCAACAAAATGTAAATTTCTCAGTAACCTGTCATGTGCCCTTGAACATCAATTACAGTATGACAATGGCAACCCATGATGTTCACAAGTCAACTCATTTTCTGCTGAGGCATAGCATCCCATTCTTGAAGGGCAGCCCTCAGGATATTGAAAGTCTGGGGTTCATGGTTACGAGCCTCTAACRGTGACTCAGCTTATCTCATAGGTTTACTATGGGATTTAGATCAGGAGAAACAGATGAGCAGAAGCATTGTCAATCATAAGGATGAAATTAGGTCTAAGATATTCATGCAGATCATGTTACTGTATCAGTCTCATAGAGTAGGGTTGTTCTGTATTGAGTAGACACACCTGCCCACACAGTAACAACACCACCATCGACGGCTCATCTGGTGACATCAATGGATGATGCGTAGCACTCTCCTTGACATCTCCAACGTTGTTGTAAGACCATCATTTCTGCTCACTGCGAATTGACTTACATTAGAGAACATGATGAGACACTTGGGTGCCTCTCAATTATCTTACTGTAAATGTGCCTAGAGTTGAGTGGCGTTCATTGTCAGGTTCCACAGGGTAATGTTCCCAATGAAGTGGTCATGAGTATAAACATCACTAACACAGAGGAAATTCCCCCAAACTCAGAAAATTATTTATGTGACAATTACGTGTGTGTGCTGCAAAGGATTCTGGAAAAACTTGTAGGAAATGTTTGTGCATTTTCTGGCTGTTTATGATGTTTCTGAGTGTGGAAATATGTTGTTTTTGTTAATGGTCTGTTCAGGATTGTCTTTATGTTGAAGTCTTAGTTTTTGGCTGAAAACTGACACCATGAGTCAGACGTACTTCCTGGTATGTAACAAGGAAAGCACTGAGTGTGGAATTGATAGACTGGGCTAAGAATGAAGTAATTGGTTTTGCTTACTTGTTTTCTTTAGCTTTGGAGGCTGAGTGGTCAGAGTTGTCTAAGGGTGTGCAATACTGAGAATTTTGGCATTGATCAGACACTACGTAATTAGAAGGCTAGAATCATCAATACTGATACCGATAGATACTTTTTACATGAAATATTACAATCAATGAACAATTTTGTAATTTTGCCATTAGTCAAATATGATAAAATACAGGACAATAACTTCAGGCAAAAAAAGGCTTTTCATTAACTAACTATAACAATATAAAAAAACAAGTTAAAAAATATTCTCACATGACTAACTGCACACAATTGTGTAAGGAAAATGTCACTAGTGCAAAAGAAAAAAATAGCAACAATAGAAACTGTTCCAGTACAGTGTTTGGGAAAATGTTTAATGAACGTTACCAACCTTTAACAAATATAAACAATAATTAAATAATAATTTTATCAAAAATATTTTACTCTGCACAAGGGCTGCYACCTTTCAGAAATGTAATATTCATGTTACTCAAGTAAAAATATAGTAGCATTCTGCTGTGTTTGGCTGTTTGTCATGTGGCTGCAGTGGAGGATTGTGGGTAGGATTCATGTTTGTTRTTGTTRRAWCATTTTAGGGAATTGGTTAACATTGTTCTTTCAGCTATTAGTCTGTTGTGTTACTCTAAGTTGTGTGTTCATTATTTGTTAACTTGTGTTAAACCGTTCAGCAGAAGTAACATAAGGGAGAGTGGAAGTCATTAATAAGACCTGTGAGTTTCACTTTGTCTGTGTTGTTCATGAAGACGAATCCAATAACGGTTCTTATTACAGCAACCTCAAAGCTCTGTGGCACATAACCATTCACCAGAGACAAACAAGATACCGCATAGCGGTAACATAATGACCCCCGCACACACAAATGCACCAGAACTCAGAAGTCTTTATTCCTAATAAATATCATGCTACTAGGTGCATCCCAAAATTGTAGTGGCTTGGGTGGGGGTCTTTTTTTTTTTTGGAGGGTATTGGTTGACCTGATGGATAGCCCCTCATYAGAGCTTAACAACCAAAGAAAATCTGAAGCTCCTATATTTAATAGTTTTTGAGCAATAACCATTTTTGTATCTCCAGATACCCCTTTTTCAGATAAATTGGGGGTCCAGGTGGGGTGAGGGCACTGATTGGTGGGCCTGATGGATAAGAGCTTCATCAGAGCTAAACAACAGCCCCCTCCTCAAATATGGGGTCTATTGTAAAACTTTTGGCCGGTGCAGTGTAGGTCAGACTCATCTACAGTCCTGCCAAATTTCGTGATGATTGGTGCAGCCATTTTTGTGCTACGGTTGACCAAGAATCACTGGGGGAAAAAAAGTACGAAAACAATATGACTCCTGCTTATGCTTCGCGTGCGGGGGTCATAATTAAGTACATCTAAAATATGGATTATAATTAGGGGAAATGCTTCTTTAAACAGTCTGGTTAGGATAGGATTTAGAAGACATGTTGATGGTTTGGATGAAGCTATGATTTTAGATAATTCAGAAAGCTCAACATGACAAAAACTGTCCAGACATAAATCAGGTTCTAGTGACACTAAAGCTGCCTCATCTGACAGAGAATCAGAGGCAGTAGGAGGAAGTCTAGCATGAATTTTATTCCTTATTAAAATTATTTTATCTATAAAGAATATCATGAAGTCATCACTACTTAAAGTTATAGGGATACATACTCAACAGAGATAGGACTTTTCATTAGTCTAGCTATAGTACTGAACAGAAACCTGGGACTGTTTTTATTCTCTTCTATTAAAGATGAATAATATATAGTTCTAGCTTTACGAAGGGCTTTCTTATATGTTAGCAGGCTGTCTCTCCAGGTTAAATAAAATTCTTCTATGTTAGTGGAGCGCCATTTACTCTCCTGTTTTCTAGATGCCTGTTTTAAAGAACGTAACTCTGAATTAAACCAAGGAGTTGGCTTTCTCCATTCGATAACTTTCTTTTTTAGTGGAGCAGTTTCATCAAGGTTATAGCTCAAAAACTATTAAACATAGAAGCTTCAGATTTTCTTTGGTTGTTTAGCTCAGATGAGGGGCTATCCTTCATGCCAACCAATGCATCCCCCCTTTCCCCACCCAAACCAGTACAATTTTGGGATGCACCTAGTAGCATGACATTTATTAGGAATAAAGACTTCTGAGTTCTGGGGCATTGGTGCATGCGGGGGTCATCATGTTCCTGCTATGCAGTATCTAGTTTTTTTAATTCACCTTTTTTCAGTGATTTTTGTTCATCTGTAGCACAAAAATGGCTCTATCAATCAACATGAAATTTGGCAGGGCTGTAGATGAGTCCGACCTACACTGCGTCAGCCAACAGTTTTAAGATAAACCCCATATTTGAGAAAGGGGCTCCATCCAAAGAGGAGGTGTCTGGACATGCAAAAATGCTTATAACTCAGAAAATGTTCAAGATAGGAACTTCAGATTTTTATTTATTCATTTTTTAGCTCTGATGAGGAGCTATCCATCAGGCAGACCAATGGGCACCCCCCCCCACCACACACACACACAAAAGACCCCCACCCAAACCAGTAGAATTTTGGGATGCACCTAGTAGCTTGACTTCTGAGTTCTGGGCATTGGTGCGTACGGGGGTCATTATGTTACCACTATGCAGTATCTAGTTTGTTGCTTAATTTGCATTGCGTCAACTTATCTTTTCAAATATGACTTGTTGTGATTCTAATATTACCTTGCTTGGTAAGTGTAACAGCAGTGAGTTGACTAACTCTCCATGTCGCCTCAATCTCTCATACATCAAAAGGCAAGAAGGCATTTTAAGGTCAACTTTAAGTGTTTTGTGAAACTTTCTAAAGTATTTTGTTGGATTGAAACATAATTCTAAATTCTCTAATACAAACAAGAATATTTGTTTCTTGTGAATATAAATGAAACAGTTATCTTAAATATACAGCTAGATGTGCTAACTTTTTTCTCTCTTGTCCTTTAGGTCATGGAACCAAGGGTGTCTTTGAACTGCTGGCAGGCTGGAGAAGAACCAGAGAAAACCTGCCCTTCAAGGAGCGTGTGGCTGATGCGTTTGCTGATGTAATGGTGTGCTACACTATGACCAGCTCACTCTACATCATCACCTTTGGCATGGGAGCGAGCCCTTTCACTAACATCGAATCAGTGAAAATCTTCTGCCAGAGCATGTGTGTGGCCATCCTGGTGAACTACTTCTATGTATTCTCTTTCTATGGCTCCTGCCTGGTGTTTGCAGGACAGCTTGAGCAGAACCGCTACCACAGTGTCTTCTGTTGTAAGATCCCCTCAGTGGAGTACTTGGACCGGCAGCCAACATGGTTTAAGACCATGATGAGTGATGGTCATGACCTGTCCACACATCACGACAGTGTACCATACCAGAATCACTTCATCCAGCACTTCCTACGAGAGCATTACACAGAGTGGATTACCAACACCTATGTAAAACCATTTGTGGTCATTTTATATCTCATCTATGCATCGTTTTCTTTCATGGGATGTTTACAAATCAGTGATGGATCGAATATCGTGAACCTTTTAGCCAGTAACTCACCAAGTGTTTCGTATGCTCTGACACAACAGAAGTACTTCAGTAATTATAGTCCGGTGATTGGGTTTTATATTTATGAACCAATTGAGTACTGGAACTCTACAGTGCAGGAGCACCTGAAGACTCTGAGTCATGGTTTTAACAAGATCTCATGGATGGATAACTTTTTCCACTATCTGCGGTTGGTAAATGTGAGTGCATCAACAAAAAGTGACTTCATCAATATTTTAAAGGATTCTTTCCTGCACAGCCCAGAGTACCAGCATTTCACAGAAGACATTATCTTCTCAAAAAACCGTGAGACGGATGAATATGACATCATTGCCTCACGGATGTACTTGGTAGCACGGACCACAGAGAAGAAGCGGGAGGAAGTGGTGGAGCTTTTAGAAAAGCTTCGCCCATTGATGCTGATCAACAGCATCAAATTCATTGCCTTCAATCCCACATTTGTTTTTATGGACCGCTACAGCTCATCTGTCATTTCACCCATCCTGACCTCAGGTTTCAGTGTACTCACCATTCTCATCCTCACTTTCTTCCTGGTCATCAATCCCTTGGGAAACTTCTGGCTCATTCTCACAGTGACATCTGTGGAGCTAGGAGTCTTAGGTTTGATGACCCTCTGGAATGTCAGCATGGACAGCATTTCCATCTTGTGCCTTATATACACTTTGAACTTTGCCATGGATCACTGTGCACCACATCTGTACACTTTTGTGCTTGCCACGGAGCACACGAGGACACAGTGCATCAAGTTGGCACTGGAGGAGCACGGGGCAGCCATCCTACAGAACACATCCTGCTTTGTGATCGGGATCATGCCTCTAGTGTTTGTGCCTTCCAATTTGACCTACACACTGTTCAAGTGCTCCCTACTCACTGCAGGCTGCACTTTGTTGCACTGCTTTGTCATCCTGCCTGTCTTCCTGACCTTCTTCCCGCCATCTAAAAAGAGACATAAGAAAAAAAAAAGAGCCAAGCGGAAAGAGCGGGAAAGGGAAAGGGAGCGAGAGAGGGAGAGGGAAAGAGAAAGGGAGGAAATAGAGTGCATTGAAGTCAGGGAGAATCCTGATCATGTGACAAATATTTGAGTAGTTATTTATATTAGGAGGATTAGTACCCACCACCAGTTATTGGTGGCCTGGATGAACTCTCAGATGCCGAGGCACCTCTATAGATGCAAGGAAGTCTGAGGTGTTCCCTGAGGAGTGGTCACTCCCAAACAATAGCAGCTAAGATGGCCAGAGTCAAGTGTAGCCCATTAGTGAGCCGTAAATCCTTCAGTCTGGACAGTGTATCTCCTTTGCACAAACTGTAATACATTCATGGTTCTAAAGTTCTCTTCAGCTATTAGTTATATAAAACAACTTGATTGCCCAAACTTGCCTGTTAAATCTTTAAAACAATCTAGTTTGTTTTAAAGTTAATTCTGTGTTCACCTGTGGTCATCGTGTCAGTAGAAACAAATGAGGGTAATAAGAATCAGACCGGTGAAAGCAGCCAGTCGAAAGTTAAACTTTCTAAATATGTCTATATAAGCACCTCACTTCTCACATCTCCACATCAGTAAATATCAGGGAGACTATTTGGACAGAAAACATGCTGCATACTTTTCTGTCCTAGTAAAAATAGCTGAACAGCTGAACCAGGCAGATGGTGATACACTGTGTCCATCATGAAGAATTACCTTGCACATTGCATTGTGAGAATATGATTGTCAAAGTTTAGCTAAGAGAGGGGTAAATGTTTTCTGTATCATTTTAGAAGTCAGATATTCTCAGGCAGTGTTAGACAGATAGGCAGTGGGCTGCATTGAGAAAAGATAAGATTAAAAGTGAAGTCATTGTTGTGCTGCAGTATATGGAAGCTCGTCAGCTTGACTCCAACCATTGGACTTGAAGAAATCCTAAACTGTTTTGTATTAGAGAAATAAAACCAAACGTGAAAGGTGTTTTTAAGGCCCTATCAACACTACTCTGGATATTTTTGACAATAGAGATTTTCTGGGATCTTTTGTACCTCCATCCCACAGTTTGGTAAAACTGGGATTTCCATTTTCTAAAATGAAAATATTTAAAAACTCAGTTTTTGGTGTGTCTGTGTGGACTCCAGGTATGAGRCTTTTCTGAAGCAAACATGAATCTGCCTATTTTACACACACCCACTATCTCTGTGATTTAGAAACTAAAACAACAATGGAGCCGTTTTAAAACAGGTTTTCTACATCTGTCTCACTTTATCCCAATCTTGTAATATATTTGACTGTGTGCTGAAATGATTAATAACTAAGAGGAAATTCTATGGTAAATGCTATCAAATAAACAACTTAGATAAGTAATTATTGGAAAGCTAAGATTTTACTTTTTATATTAGTATTGATGTTCTTGCCACCTATGGTACAGCACAGCTATCAAAGTATTTTTGTCAGTCATGTAGGTGAAGTAACAAAAACAAAAATTACTTTTAAAAAGAAATACCCAGAGTAGTGTAGACGGGGTCTAAGACTTGAGTTGTTGAACTTTTTAGCAGACTGATATCAGAAATTTGCAGTGAGTAAATTGTTGCTTCTGTAATGCCCCTACAAAGACTTCATTCGAGAATTAATTTAGTTTCGATGCTGCCAAAAAGTGTACATACATGTTTTTTTTATTCAAGCTCTTTTAAAACAAAAAYGCTCAGTAAATTTTGACATTCATATAATTCAACCACGTATGAGTTATCATTGATAATTTAGTGTTCAATGTTCACGGTTGTGAAGAAAGTACTGCATGTTATAAAACCCCAAAAGGCTTTAACCAATAAACAAAAGTAGGTCGTCATGGAAAAAATAAAAAATGTGACTAACTCAAACTAAAGTCCTATGCTTTTTGTATTATTTTATTTTTTGTTTTAAGAAAATGCTAGTGCAATATAATTTTTAGCACATTTTAATGTCTCACAAACTGTCTTGATTGGGTCAGTTTTTACCCAAAAAATAATTTTTTTCTGTTAATTCAGTAATTTCGTATTTACTTTTGAAACTAAACTAAATTAACTCCAAGTTAAAAGGAATGTTTGTCAAATTTTCAGGATAGGTAGTTGCTTGCACGCTAATTTTATCATCCTTTTTTTAATCTCTAACATAAAAAAGTATTTATAACTTTGTGTGACAGAACTTAGTCCCCCCTCAAACTCAATCACTATAATGTTAAAAATTAGCTGGTAACATGGCTGGTTTGTGCAACATCTTGGTGAGTTGATCAGACAGGTATTAGAAATGTACTGACCTCCTTACTAGGTGTAACAGGTTCACAATGGTTAACATGAAAAAAACCCTTCTTAGTGAGGTCATAATGGTTTGTCATTTTGCTGGCAGCAGTGTATTTATGATGCTGGTACGGCACACACTGGCAAGCTTGGTTGTCAGAGAATTTTATGCAGGACTGCCACACTGTCCTCATGTCGAGACCACAACCGTGATTGTGACAGAATCATTAATCACACACAATACATGTGGTGGTAGCATCATGCTAGTGTGATGTGGTCATCTTACTGTATCCTTGTCTGAAAATGTCACACCAGGTGGAGATGCAGGAAAGCATCTGAAGGATGCAAAAAAGTAGCAGGACAAATATCTGACAAAAGTCCTAAGCAAATATATCTGACAAAAGCAGCATCATGATTGCTGTCATGCAATTTCATGCAGGAGGTTTTTCCTAATGGCAATCTCCACTTGTCATATCATGCATTTCATTAACATACAGTATCTGCTGCTTTCTCAAAGATCATACAATAGGCATTGATTATATGGACATTCAGTGGTAATAACATAACGGAAAAAATATGTTTCTAGACCAGTTTTCAACACATCCAAGTTCAGGAAATACAGGAAAGATCAGTTCAAACATTGACAGGAGGGTTTAGATATTCAACTGATTTGCAAAGGGAGCGAGATTGTTAAACAGGTTGGTGTTTTTACCAGTGTCCTTTTATAGCTTAGCTTTCTCCATATCGTGTGTGTGCATGAACGCACACAAATAGACATCAGGTGGTGTTTCAGCACCCACCCTTTTCCATCTGGATCATCAAGTGCCCTTGTTGGACTATTGTTTTACCCTAAAGTGTACCTGTGGCCCATGGTTTCACTACCAGTGCCCTAAAATGCACAAAGCAATTTTGCTCTCATGCCCTCCTTTCACCTCACAAACACACACTCCATGCTTGTCTACGGCATTCCAGTGCTGTGCCGCTCTAGTGAACACACTTCACGGTCAAAGAGGTACATGCCTCTTTTCCTGTCCTCTTGCTCAGCAGAGAACCTGTTGACATCTAATCAACAGTTAATTTCTAAACCTCCGATGTTTTAAACTTTAGTTGCATCAACTTTGTTTCATTTTTGAAGACAATTAACCCTTTATTATCATAAACAGTAGAACATTGATGTAGCTTGTTTACCAACAGCAGCATCTGGATGGGGTGGGCCGAGAAGGATCCATCAAACCCGTCCCTCTAATCAGGGAAAAAGGAGGACGTATTTGTGGGGTGCATTGGAGGAGTTTTTGAGTTTGGGCAGACTCCAGCGCAGTGCTGGGATGTAAGCAGCTGACAAATTCAGCCTTCAGCGGATGCAGCCCTTGAATTTAGGCACAGCCTTTGTCACATGTCTAGTTTTCTACACATAGCCTGAGTGAAGGTCTCCTTTGACTTGCTAACATGTAGCTTGTGCTAAAGCTCGGCAAACAGCCTAATGAAGTGACTACAGTCTGTGCTTCTGTCAGTGGTCATGGGGCCCTTTAAGGGGGTAGCACAAGTAATATAGTAATTTCAGTGCCCTCAGTGCTTCGAATGTTCGTTGCATTTGGCCACTTCATTACCGTACCTCAGAGTCCCCCTTTAGCTTGGAGCACTAGACAAATGCCCACTTGTCTGACGTAATATGACGGCTCTGCTTGCAGGCTGCACACAAAATACGGGAAAACTTAAATTTGGATGAAAATACAGGACATCCGACTAATACGAGACAGTTGGCAACCCTAACACTGTATGAGGGTAGCATGGACGCTACGAGTAAATCTAGCAGTAGGCTACAGTTCAAACAATACGAGGTTTTCTGTACCTGTTTAAGGATAGAAAGTGCAGGGATAGGATCAGGGTGGCCCTATAGTTTGTCTTTTACCTCCAATAAATTTTTTGGAGCAGACTCTAAGTCCTTTGTTGCACTTTTTCTGTTCAAATTCAGCTCTTCTTGTCACTGGTTAGCTAGCTCCTTAGCTTGGGAAAAGTGACAAAAAATACACCTTCCATGTTGGGAAAATGACAGTATCACAGCATAATGTTCCTGGTGGAATTTCATGCAGTTTTTCTGGATTTCTTTAAGTTTAAACATAGCTAAACTGTGCACTGTGATTGAAACCAATGGAACCCGCTACCAGAGTTTGTACGTGCATGGGTGTTGAAGCATTTGAATGGATGTTGACTAGAGTTCTAAAAGTAGCCTGTGTGGAGATCCCCCATTTTAGTGTGATGTGACTCATGGAGAGCATAGCAAGATCATCATTCAGTGTAAGAGGCCCTTAAGCCCCTTTTCCATGGTGTAGTGTCGGAACGGTTTGTGTAAGTACGGGTCGATACGGGTCACCGGTTGGTTTTCCACTGATGTTCCAGTCCGGTTCCAATGGGTGTGTTTTGGGCAGTTGGTCGAGGGGGTTTTTAGGTTTTTTTGAAAAAAAGTTAATGAGCAAAATGAGAGATGGAAACACAGTTGATGAATAACTTTTGAAATTTTAAAAATTTCCAAAAATTTCGAATTAAAATTGGATGGAATCACGACTAATGTCACTGCTACAATTGAAAAAATGTCTCCTTGAGTTGTTGTTGTAAAGGCAGCTTAGACGCAACCAGTGACTCCACCCCCTAGCCAATCAGTGACGAACAGTGTTCTGACGTTGCATTGTGGTGTCAGCTGGGGCCGCTTGGAACCACAATGAAGTAGGTACTAAAAAAGGGCCGGTTCCATGAATCTGGCCTAATGGAAATGCTTGGAACCGTACCGAACCGTACCAACACTACACTAAGTGGCACTAGTGAAAAAGGGGCCTTAGTGTCTGTCAGAGTCTTAATACAAAGTATACCTAAGTTTGCACTAGAAATGTTAGTATATTTTTGTCAACAAATTATATTACTTAAATTAATTTAGAAAAAACTAAAAATGAAAGCCTCCATTGAATTTTTTCTTCTATTTATAAAATGTGTGACACTTGAACTAGCCTGGAGGGGGCGTCAACACTTTTACTCTCAAGTTACAACATTGAACAAGAAAGTGTGTAGAAACTCTCTGTGCCTTCTGCAGGCCTGGAGCTGGTGTTACATACTTGTTTAATTTAACAACCAAAATAAAATTCCATAGACACTGAATGTTCTTTACAAAAGCCTTTTTTTTTTAGAAATTCAAAATGGCTACCTTCACCCCACAGGGTAAATAGCATTAAGTTCTTCGGCTTTTGCCTGATAAGAATCTCTGTTGCAGTCCCAGAACAGACACATTCAAGGTCAGCATCTCTGACAGATACAAATCTCACTCTGACCTCTGGCARGCAGGACACAGCTGGTGGCATGTGATATTTGGGCCCCATGTGTGAACAGACGAGGTTGATCATTGACCAGTCAGTATCTTTTTAATGGACTGGCTGAGTCTTACAGGTCTTAATTGAGGGGAAGCTGCTAAAAAAATGTTCTGCAACCAACAAATGAAAAGTTCTCACTGCAAGCAGCTAATCAGGCAGTTGGAGTCTTGATTACAATGTTCACACCAAAGCAAAAATGTGTTGATATTTGACAAAAAAAAAAAAACGAGTGTGACGTTTTGTGTGATACCAAAATGATACTGAGCCCACATTATGTGTATTTTATCAGAGTTAGAGGCAATTTAAAGATGTTTTGTTATATTTTTTCCCCTTTTGGCTGCCCCTTCTGCAAGGGTCACCACAGCAGGAGAAACCATCACTGAAACCAGATGCTTGTCCTGACGCAACCTGGGCTCATTCTTGCAGCCTTAGGATTATGACCACAGAGCTACCACAGCCCCTTTTTTATTATGATACTTTACTATAAACTAAACACTGTGTATGTGGAATTTGAAGCTGTAAGTGTAACTTCTATTAACTAGACCCTGCCCTTGTAAGAAATTAGGCATTCTTACAGCCACTCACTGCAGCAGATAAGTAATTGTCACATAACGTTAAAGCCATGTCATGTATAGCGAAGAACGCATGAAATGTTTGAACAATGGTAACAAAAAGTAAATAAGTTACTTCCCTAAAATGGACTGTGTTCGCATGACATTGTGTCATTTGTATGCATGTGTTTAATTTGTCTGTATGAAGTCTGTGAATTTTTTTATTACCTTGCTAAGATGTAGTGACTTTTGTTTGTTGTTGCAAGGCATTTTCTGTAACATCATGTGCTGCAAAAGAACAAAGAGTCATATATGTTCCAAGAACAAAAGCCAGAGGATATTTCATGTGTAAAATAACTGCAATTTACTACTTTCTATATTTTCTAAGACAAAAAAATAGCAAACATTTTAATTATGACATTTTCATAAAAAAATTTAAAAAGTGAAAAAAAACATGTTGAATAAAGTAGGCCAGTAATAAAAAGTGGAATGTTACCAGTATACTAGATCCTGTTTGTTGCACAGCTGTGTCAATGCTTGTCTAATTTTCACTGATTTTTACACAGGAGCCAGCATTGTTGTCTTTACACTTTTCTCGACACCACTTGGCCTGGAATTTTAGGACCTCATGTCAGCCAACAGCTCATTTAGACTGACTTCACACGGGATGACATCCCCAATATAAAGTTCAAAAGGATCTGCAAGAATGTGGATGGTCTTTGGATGGTCCTGGAAAAGTCTTCAGGGGTGTAATAATAACAACAATTTWAAAAAAAAACAATATAGAATTTAATGAGCTACTCATTGCATGTAAAGACGGATGAGAAGCAGTGGTTTTGAGCAGGATCCTAATTTCTGTAGTAAGGTCATGTTGGCAGTGTAGCAAAGTACTGAGTGGAGTGTGGGAGCACAAGTGACATCAAATTCATGACTCAGCTAGATTATCAAAATCTGAAGCAGAACTGCCCACTCTGGCATGATATTGTCAGATGTCAACTTTAGACCATGTGCAGTAAAAACTGGCCGAGGAGTTAGAATTGTTTTTTGTGTTGCTAATGTTGAAGCTATGGTGACCATGTTGCACTGGACAGGTTATAAATGTACATTTAGGGATTACTTGTTATGCAGTTTGACTAAAATCTGTTCAGTGGGACATGACTTATTTTGCAAACAGGCAGAGTTGATTCCAAATAGTTAACAGCAAAACTTTCAACAGTTTTTGTGCATTTCTGTTAGTCTCAGCTACTATAACAATAAATTTATGTCAAAATCTGCAAAAACGAATGTGCTAACACAGGGGTTCCCAAACCTTTCAGCTTTTGACCCACAAAATACCAGCAGCAGAGACCTGAGACCCTAGCTGTTGTTGGTTAATAAACACTGTTTTCATGTCAGATAAATATAACAATATTCTTTAAGCTAGTTTTGTCCTATATAAATACACTAACCTTACTCTTGTAACAACAAAGACTTAAAAAGTCTGTTAGTTTTCATTTTTTAGTGCAATTAATTCAGAAAATCTTTTCAGGACCCCACTTTGGGTCCCGACCCCAACTTTGGGAACCACTGTGCTAACAGACAATTGTGTGGTCTTTAAGGTCAGTTACGGCCATCTTGAATTTGTCTGACTTCAAAAGTCATCACTAGTAGATGTTCATCTTATCCTTAGTTGCTTCAAGTTTCACTAAAGTTTGGGAACTGTTTCATGAGAGATGTCAGTAACCGAACAACAAACACACACACAGACATGGACAAAAACACAATCACTCTGCCTTTAGTTGACAATCACTGTGACAAGGTCACTGAAATAAGCTAGCACAGATGGGGTGTTAGCATCATCATCAGTATGGTACCTTTTTACTGTTTAAAGATTGATTTTAGTATGAGAGAAAATTTTGTCCTGTTTCTTGAAAATAGAGGAAGGCCCTGAAGGAAGTAACTCAAATGAGGATCTTACAGGGTGTGTATTGTCTGCTWTAACCTTGTTTGCCTCATAACTCTGTGTTGGCTGTGGTCACTATACTTCTTAATAAGTTCTGCTAAGCCTCTGTAGCCTCGACAAACCAACAGATATTACAAAAGGTTAAACAACACTCTCAATAAAAGCAGAATAAAACATTAGAATGATTGAGTTATTGACTCTAAAAGACCCCAGCTTCTTTCAAAACTACAGTCTCTGTTGAGCCTTGGTGCTAATAAAGTCAGCCCATGAGTCCCATTTCAAATGACAGTCCAGAACTGTGCCCAGGTAGGACAAGACTGTCTCCATCTGCTTTCCATCACTGAAGGTCGGAGAGAATGACTGAAGCTTCCTGAAGTTGATTTTTTTTTGTCATATTCAGAGTTAGTTTAGATTTCTTCCACCAATTGATGAAGTCCAGGATTGGTCCATACTGCTCTTCTTTGGTGTTTAGAAGGCTAACCGCTGTGTCATCACAGCTTCATTAAATGTTTATTTGGGACAGTGCTGGTAGTTGTTTTGTCAGAGTGTTGGCTCCACTCTGACCTGCTGGACTCTACCTGTTAACTTGAAAAGTRTCAACATTCATTTCTTTAACATTTTTTTGTTAGTAAGGAAAGAGTTTTGAAAAAATCCATTTTTTACACATGAAAACTCATTCTGTCTTCTGTAGAGCGAAAGAAGCCCACTTTTGAGAAAAGAACTGAAAAACAGCTTCTGATATCAGAATTAACTTGAAAAGTGTCAATATTCATTTCTTTAACATTTTTTGTTTGTTAGTAGGGAAAGTGAAAAAAATCCATTTTTTCCACATGAAAACTCATTCTGTCTTCTGTAGAGCGAAAGAAGCCCACTGTTGAGAAAAGAACTGAAAAACAGCTTCTGATATCAGAATTAACTTGAAAAGTGTCAATATTCATTTCTTTAACATTTTTTGACAGTAGGGAAAGTCTTTGAAAAAATCCATTTTTTCCACATGAAAACTCATTCTGTCTTCTGTAGAGCGAAAGAAGCCCACTTTTGAGAAAAGACCCAAAAAACAGCTTCTGATATCAGAATTAACTTAAAAAGTATCAATATTCATTTCTTTAACATTTTTATTAGTAGGGAAAGACTTTGAAAAAATCCATTTTTTACACATGAAATCTCATTCTGTCTTCTGTAGAGCGAAAGAAGCCCACTTTTGAGAAAAGACCCAAAAAA